GGCAGAAATGTGTGCCCAGAGCCCTGACACCGTTTTGGTTGCAGCGGTTGCACAGGTGATTTGGACAGCTCGTCTGTTATATCCCGCCCCACTGTTCAAGAAATATGAAAACAAATGAGAACATGCATTTGAGTTCATCTAATTCTCTAGAATTATTATCGCAAAGTCTAGAAAAATCAAAAACTTACTTTTCTGTAAAATTGAAACTATACTCCGCAGAAAATAGACATGTGCTGTTTTATACTAAGTTATCATCGCTAAATTTATACAATTTAATGTGATCAAGATCTAAATTCAATCTTAAACATTAGCTCAACGCTAAAAATATATCTATGCTTTTACTTAATATCACATCCCATCCTATCCATCCCATGCTCTGCACAGTAATTGTAGCAGTCTTTGTTGCCCCCCCCCCTAAAATAAAAGCATATTTTATGTTCCAAAGTAAAACGTTAAATGGTAGTGAAAAGGAAAAACAAAATAGCAAAAATAATAAACTTAATAATTTGACGTTATATGTAAGAATCTTTGAAACTGTCTGTATGGATTACTTGATTTATAATAATTTAGTCTCCTTGTTCTTCGGGATAAAATTTTAATTCTAAGAGGATAGAAATCCAATATTTTCACTTCATCGAATAGTTGTTTTCCTGCTTTTCTGGCTCATGCAGTTCATATGCGTTTAGTGCCATCCCCTGAAAGGTCTTGAGAACTCTGACGACACGTGTAACGATCCCAATATCAGTGATGATCCAGCTGCTATAGATCAGTTTCTTTCAAAATTTGAGAAATTTCATTAACTTTACAGAGAGATATTTTCTTCCGCCGGCAAATAACTCTCTCAAGAAAGCAAGAAACAAATACAGCTTGAATTTATGAAATCTATCGGGTGCAGACGACAAGTTTAGTGTCTAAAAGTTACAGTTGAGAAAAACATTCCCCACGTTTCTTATCACAAAGTAAATAATCGCGTTAGGAAAATATACCCAAAATAGGATGAGGCCTAAGTCAGTCCACGCCATATATAGTTAATTATTATCATGTCCTGAATCGAATTATGTCACATGCAGTCTGCTTCGCGCCCACCGAAGCACAAGACCTTCTACGACTTGTGAAAAAAAAAAACAAACACCGAAACAAAAAAATAAAAAAACAGATGTGTACGATCAACACGCCTAGCTCTTTATTGAAAGCTTCCTCTTATTCGTAGCCTTTTCCAATATTTTTTTTACACTGGTCTTATTTTGTTCAAGGATTCAGGCTCTTCTGATAGCTTTAAAGACTTCAGTTACCTGGAAGATAGATAATAAAGGTCTATAATTAAATTTTTCGCTTCAGGGCATCAACAGCAGATTTGTTATGGTTTGAAGATAACTTGCCTCGCAAAAAAGTGATGAAAGCTACAAGGAGTGAATCGAGTGTTCTTGTATTTCGCAACTAGAAAATTGTGTCCAGCGGATTATTTTTCAATTCAAAGTCATAATTCTAAAAGTATAATATCAAATTCTAACTAGCAAACTAAAGAAACTTCCTGGAGCCTGCCGTTGCCATCGAGTTAAGTATATTACTTATTGATGTGATCTTTCAAAGGAGAAAAATGAATTATTTCTTCTATGCTTAGTATGGGGAGTTAGAACTTAGAAACTCCCTTTACGAACTTTCATTTTAAGCCCTAACTGTACAAAACAGTGTGGCTTAATTAGAGAGTTAATTGATAAGCAAACCACGACGGCAAGGCCAACGAAAACGTATCAAAACAATTATGGAGACTTAACAGCAAATTATTTAAGTTTCCGTCTGCAACTGAGCAGGTTTTTTTTTACGTTATGCTGAAGCCGAGGTGTCGAGCAGTAGGAGACGGTGAACACATCAAGCTATTCGCGAAATTCTGACCAAAACTGTAAATTCACTTTTGAATCGACGTCTTCCCTAACTTTGCTTCACTGACTTCCTGAGGTCCCTTTTCAAAGGACGTCTTCATAATAATTTTCACGCAAAACTGAAAAGCCATCGCGGCATGTATCATAAATAAATTACCTTTTCGCCTCTAACACAACATAATTAAGTGGGATGTTTAGTTTGAGCCAGCCGGTTGGCTTCTTTAATCAATTACGGAGGACAATTAGTAGTTCGTTACCTTGGCACAGTTGTTGCAGAAGGTTTGAATTTTTGACCAGCCATCCTCTAAAAAATTAGCTTGCAATAGGTGCTCAATACATGTGCTCTGTATCGATTCCCTAGCCTTTTGGTACAGATCATGGAAAGAGAAAAAAAACTTTATGCAACCCTATTTCTTACATCACTCCTGAGCGGCTTACCTCACTCGAACAGCGCCAAGAACTTCAGAAGGGATGGAAAATACGGAGTAAAATACGCTCATTTTGTGAAGAATCCCTTTCAAAGACTAAATACTGCAGTCCTTGATAGTTTAATAGTGTCTCGAACTCTGGAATGTACTTATCACTGTGTCAATCACCAAGAATGTTACTCAGTTAATTATGGCGTAGCTTCATTAACGTGTGAGCTGCTAAACGCAAATAAGTTTCAAAACTGGACCGATGTAGTTCATAGTGAAATCTGGGACCACTATAACATTAAGGTAAGTCGCAATCTATTTCCGTTTGTGACAGAAATTTGTTTTTATTTCCATATATTACGTAATGAAAGTCTTTGTGTACTGGCGAATTGAGGTAAACCGACAACTTTGGTTTTGTTTTGGAAAGGTAGCGGGTGCGACGAAGGTTGACCCGCACCACATTCCTTCGTAAAACGAACGATTCATGCTTTTCCTCTTACAATAATGTGTTAATAATACTTATAATATTTTGCCTCAATATCATGTTATAAATAAAAGAGACTGTTTAAAAAAAAAATACTCCTTCTAGGGACATTTATCCAGTTATTATAATTAATTATTGTATTTTCCACTTTGGCAGAGCCCGTGCATAAGCAATCCTTGTAAAAATGGAGCTTTATTTTGTCGGCCGAATTACAATCAAGACGATTCTCAGTGCGTTTGCAAACCAGGTTATGGTGGAATATTCTGTGAAACAGGTCGGTTACGATTTTTCCCGATAATCGATGTACAGGCCTGATTTTTTTCAGGTCTGATTTTCGCTATTGCATAAATAGCGCTCTCTACTGCGAGGATCGTGCATCATACATATCTAATACCGCAGTTCAAAATATATGACCTTCATATATTCATTGTATCTGATTTATCATCACGGATTTACTACGAATCAACTTAACGGCCTGCTCCCAGTTGGCTTGTTAGCTCAATTGGTAGAGCGCTGCACCAGTATCGCAGAGGTCAGTGGTTCGAATCCCGTACAGGCCTGATTTTTTTCAGGTCTGATTTTCGCTATTGGATAAATAGCGCTCTCTACGGCGAGGATCGTGCATCATACGAATCGATGTATTCTTGGCCCATTTAACAAATAAAAATTTGGTCCAAACGTAGCTAATACATGCAGCATGTACTTGTTTACATGACAGTATAATTTCAATTTGTAACCGGCCTTTCATTCGTGATACTAGGCCACACACTCCACAGCAGATGTCAAAAGTTATGAAAACGATGAATGTGAGAATCAAAATAAACATTCTACCAAGCAAACGGAGTGTTCGTCATCATCGTCGTCATCATCATATTCACGTTCATTTTTTCTGTTGTTGTTGTTGTTGGTTGTTGTTGTTGTTGTTGTCGAAGTGATTATCATCAATCGTGCCTTTAATTTTGTTGCAGCATCCAGAAATATCTAAATTGTTCGAATATGTCACTAAATCACTGCATATTTACATATTTACGTTTTTGTATTGATTATCACTAAAACCAATTTACCACATGCAGATATCGATGAATGTTCGAGTTCTCCCTGTGATAACGAAGCCACTTGTATTGACAAAGTTGACGGATATATTTGTGTGTGTCAACCAGGATTCGAAGGACTGCATTGCGAGACTGGCAAGTGTGACCTATCTTTTGCTTATGTATACGGATCTTTTGTAATACCTGGTGTTTTATGTAATGAATGAAATGTTTGTCAACTTTTATAGCTCACCACATGGTTGCATAACAATTTGATACATAAATAGCCTAATGGCTATCGTTTGTAAATCCTAGCAGCAAAAATTTGTCCCAAGTCAAATAACATAAATATATTTTAACTTTATATTGTAAATTGTCCCGGTAAGAAAAGTTCCTGAAGCTGACATTTTGAGCGTTAGTTTTTCGTCAGTTAATGAAACAAAATTGTCTTGTAAAAACCCTCCTAAGACGAAGCACCACAGTTTCTTTATTTAACTCATTTTTCTTCAAAAGACCTCTTTATTTAGCTCATTTTTCTTCAAAAGACCTCTTTTCCATATGTTCTCCATAATACTTTTTCTCGCTCCGCGAAAGTGGTTGGCCTTTTTAAAGGGTCTTATTCCGACTCTAACGGGAATCGTTCATTTTGAAAATTTTAGGTGAATATTCGGACATTCCGCAATATTTCTCGATTATAAGCAGATAGCAACGAGTGCTTTAGCAACCCTTGCTAAAATAAGGCGACATATGAAATCTGAAAGAGCGTTAACTAAAAGAGATTAGAATTTCATTCAACTTCAAGTGTTTCTCTTTTCGTCTCTAGGGAAAAAATAGGGCTTATTATTTTATACCAAATTCAAAATCAACGAACTTCAATTAAATCTGTTTACACAGATATCAACGAAATTTATTGTGCATGGATGCGAAATTATTTAAGTTGTTATATGCTAAGTTAGTACTGAGGCAAATCTGAGCGTTCTGAATGGCTCGTAATTGATCGGCATATTTTGCAATGTTGACTGTTCACACGGAAACGGTCATAAGTTGTACATTTTTGTTCGCGAAAGCAAGCAAATTTAAAGTAAAAAAGTTTCGTTCGAGTGCCAAGCAAGAATAAAAACTGTAAGGTTTTATAGTTTCCTCAATGCAAACCTTGAAAAGCTCGGGTCAAACAAAGCAGCTTAAGTGTATGTATACTTTTACTTTAAAAGATATCAACGAGTGTTCCAGTGATCCCTGTGTAAACGGTGGTAGTTGTACTGACCGAGTGAACAGTTACGTTTGTGCTTGTCAGCCTGGATTCGAAGGACTCCGTTGTGAGACGAGTAAGTATGAAATCTTTTCAAACAACTCCACCAAATTACCTCAGGCCCAGCCCTATCACTATTTCCTCAAATTGCCCTTTTCCTTATTTTCTCCATAAAACGTTTTTCACTCCCCGAAAGCATTCAGCTTTACAGGTATCTCATTTTTTTTCCAACAGTATCAATATAAAAATGTACCTTATATATTTTGATATTTGAAGTTTAAAGCAGCAGCTTGAAGCAAATAAGAGAAGTCTTAATTCCCGTACTACTGCGTCCACAGCCACAGGAAAATTGATTCATTTGATTTATCAACCTATATCACCTTCTCATTGATAA